AGGCCAGTAAGGATTCATAGGGAATGACTTTGAAGGTAAGCCCCGACAATATGGGACATCTTGCCCAGGGCAAGTCATAAAAGCCAACCTATGATTTGAATGCGAATCTATTCTAGGCAAAGCGCTTTTCCTAGCTTGGTAGCAGTGGCTCACGCCTGTAATCCTAGCCATTCAGGAAGCTGAGATATAAGAATCACAGTTCAAAGCCAGCCCAGGCAGGGAAGTTCATGAAATTCTTATCTCCAATTAATTACCAAAAAAAAAAAGGGACAGAAGTGGAGCTGTGGCTCAAGTGGTAGAGTGCTAGCCTTGAACACAAAAGCTCAGGAACAGTAGTGCCTAGGTCCTGAGTTCAAACGTCAAGACCAGCAAAAAAAAAATAAAAATAAATTAACTCTTTTCCTTGGCGGAGCGGGGGTAGGGGGGTGTGGGGGGGTGGGAGGATGGTAAAAGGGGTGATGTCGATCAAGATGCATTGTACTCATAATCTGACTTGTTGAAAAGAAACCTTGTTTGTGCAACTTCTTAAAATAAATTACCCCAATACTTATGGCCAGGTAAGAAGGTAGAGTCCCTAGACCTTGGAGGTGAAATGGGTGGTCTGGTGATAAGGAGGTGGTTAGAGCTGGGTCCCAGGTTTCTGGCTGATTGCAGTTATTGGTTGAGGCTCAGCCATTGCTTATGGGGAAAGAATGCAGCCCCCGAGGCCCTCAGTGACTTTGTATCTGCAGGTGTAATTTAGCTGCTCACAGTACTTCCCTTCAATCTCTTTGTTGTAAAGCCTAAATCCATAGGCAAGAACAATAAGACCAATAGAAGACAAGTCCACAAAAGCCACATGTGAGGGAGATGAGCTAAGAATACAGGCCTTCTTGGGGCACCCAAGCCTCTTTTGAAGTATGCAGAACCCCCCTCCCAGCATATCCCAAACAAAACAAAATGAAAAACACGCATAAAACCCCAACCAAAGTCAGGCATTCTGTTTTCTCAGGGCTCCCTTGCCAATGATGTCTCGACGCTGTATTAAATGGGGCTGTTTGTTTAAGAGCTGAGCAGGTGCTTTCCACTGGCACTGACTGGAAACAAAGCCAAGCCCTGGCCTAGGCCAGTGGGGACAGCCATTAGCGAGAATGAACGGAGGGAAGGCAAGGCTGGGCCAACCTTTCAGTGCTGAAAAGGTTTTGTTTTGTTCCTTTCTTTTTTTTCCCCTCTCTCTCTTAAAGTAATTTTTTTTTTCTTGGCAAAGCCACTGGATTAAAATCTAACTATTCTATTTCCAAATCTTTTTGTTAAAAAAAGGAAAATTGGAAATCACTGAGGGGAAAGGGATGAACAGACACGGCTGACCCTTGACCTTGACCCATCCCAGCTGACCTTCCGGTCATTGTCCTCATCTGCCCTCACCTGTCACTGAAGGTTGGCACTTGGAGCTCTGGGTCTGGGGAAGCTTGGCCGGAAAGGATCTCAGGAGCCATCCCCGGAACACTACCCGTCTGGGGCACCCTATGTTGAGATCCTTTGGTCTCAAGGGATGTGTTCATGCAAGATCTGGACAGAGTTCACATGGAGGGCGAAGAGCTTGTCCTTGGTCCTGAACTGGCTGCTAGTCCTAGCTTGGCTGCTCCTAACCATGGGACCTTAAGTCGGCCACTTTGTTTCTTGGAGCCTCAGTTTCCTTGTCTGTAAAGTAGGCATGATAGCACCTGCCACACTGGTAAGGCCTGAAAGCCCAGAGTATAGCTGAACTGGCCTCTTACACTCATAAAAACTATGGAGCACCCCCAAGACTTCACCCTAGAAAACTCAAGAAGATACATTTCATTGGGCTTCAGAGTGAAGACATCATCATGTACCGGGAAAATTCTAGTGTATGATTGCATTGGTGGTAGAGCACTTGCCTAGCATGTACAAGGTCAGAGAGAGAGGAAGGGGAGAAAGGAGGGAGAGGGGGCGGGAGGGAGGAAGGGAAGGACAAAATAAATAATTTGTCAATATATCACCAAGTCTGGTGACTGAGCTCAGAGACTTTGTGAAGTCTATACTCATGCATATGAAATCCCTCACATGCCACACGCTGAGGGCCCAGGAAGTTGGCACACCTGGACAGGTGTGTGGGCCTTGCACACTCCAAGTCTATGGATGAATGCTACATGCAAGACCTGCAGCAGGAGGCTCTCAGGAGGGTTCCCAGTCTACCTGCAATGGCTAGAGGGAAGACCAGCATGAGCTCAAGCAGCTGAGGGCAGGTGGGAGGGATTTGTGGGCGGGACTTGTGAGGTACTTTTCTACTTCCTGTTGCTACTCTGCTCTGCAAGAGCATGCTATTAGGCCAGCACGCTATTAAGCTATTAGTGCCCTACCTCTGAAGCAGGCTGGGAGGGACTCTAGTGGGCGCTTGCTGTCCTGGCCGGTGAGCAGAGATCGCTTCCTTTTTCCTTATGTGTGTGAGGCAGGGACAATGTTCACCTTCAGATGGCCAGGAGGGTTTAAGTGAAATCAAAGGACAGAATACTATCAGCCAACTATGGTTGATTAAGAGGTTCTCTCTGGCCAGGTGCTGGTGGTTCACATCTCTAGTCCCAGGTCCTCAGGAGGCTGAGACCTGGAGGAAGGCCGAAAAGTCTACAAGACTCCACTTCCAATTAACTTATCAAAATGGTAGACTGGAAGCATGGCACACATGGTAAGCGTAGCAAGGGAGCAAGTAAGTCAAACAAGGGCCCTGAGTTCACGGGCCAACATAAGAAAAGGGAGTCTCTTTCTCTCCCCCTGTCCTCATTCTCGCTGTCTGCCATATTCAACATACCCCCCCTCACCTTTTTTCTTTCAACATAGCTCTTTAGTTGGCTCATGAGGCTTTGAAGTTGGTGCTGTGTTCAAGAAGGCACGAGTGGCCGGGTGCTAGTGGCTCACCTGTAATCCTAGCTACTCAGGAGGCTGAGATAGGAAGATCACATGTCCAAGAGACTCTGATCTCCAATTAACCACAGGAAAAACAAACAAACAAACAAACAAAACAGGAAGTGGAGCTGTGCCTCAAAGTGGTAGAGAGCTAACCTTAAGAGAGCTCAGGGACAGTGTCCAAACCCTGAGTTCAAGCCCCAAGACTGAAAAAATAAGAAAGGGAAGGAAGGAAGGAAGGAAGGAAGGAAGGAAGGAAGGGAGGGAGGGAGGGAGGGAGGGAAGGAAGGAGGAAGGCCATAAAATTGGCTTATCCTGATACCGCCATTCTAGTGTCTAGCACACA